CTTTGCTTTATTTCTGTTGAGTAAGTTGGATGCTGATTACAAAGTAAACCCTTTTTTCTTTTTTTTCTGGTAAAAGAATTATGGAATTGTCACATGGGGAAGAGAACCTGTCCTCCACACTAAACAAAAATCTCTGCCGAGGTGGGCTATGTTAGAATCACACTTCCTATTCCTGCCCAAGAACCAAGAAGAAACTAGGCAGACAAAGCCAGGCTTTCCCTTGGAGGAAAGGAGAGCTCTTTATATACTGATTCCTACTGTAATCTGCATTTGCAACTCCCTTTTGCCCCTGTTTCCTTAGTATATTTAGCTTGGTACTCAAGTCTAGAACTCTTGTGTGGGCAGGAAAGGAAGTGGGGTTAAAGAGAGAGACTTAATAGTGAAAGCAAAATTTGTTGGTGTAGTACCTGGTCTTAATGTTATATATATTTTTAAATATCTGGAGACTGGAAAGAAATGTGCCTAATGAGCAGTTAGACTTAAATCTGCATACTTGATACTTTTATAGTCTGTGGTTCTTGCTCCTTCTTCATAAAGCTACAGCTCTCATTGTCTTAATTCTAGAGGCATAATGACCCAATACCTTGTCTAACCTTGCATGTTTTAAGCTGTTACTTTTCAGCACTTACATTCCAGAGTACAGATAAATATTTATTTCAGTGAGGACAAAGCTTTAATTTTCCCAGGTCCATCAGTATTCTTGCCAGCTTGCCCTAAAAGTCCCCTCTAATACAGCAATAGTATGTGCTTGCTTAGCCAGAGTCTTCCCTTACTCTGTCAGTACATGCCTAAAGGAATGTGTTGCTCATAAAATTGGAAGTGAAGTAATGCTGGGGGGATCCAACTGATTTCCTAATGGCTTCAAGTCACAGCGGTGTTGGGAATGGTTTAAGTGGGTGACAGCTTTACTTGCTCGAAGCATTCTCTTCTTCCTGGGACCAGCTGTACAATATATCCACTGCTCCATTATAACTACTAGGAACTGCACTGGCAATAGAGTGAGGCTATTGGCTAGTGTAGCTGTGTGTTCCCAAACAGCTGGAAGTGGGTGAAACAAGAAAGTTGTTAATGAGTCTTCTGAGTTCATACCAAAAGCTCTTTGGTCTGAAACAAGAAAATGGGGAGTTCCTTTTGTCTCTTTCACCACAGCCTGCTATTGACACTCTTTTTTCTTCTTGTAGGAAAGTGCTTCGTCTTGTGTCCCACCTGGCACAAGTAACTGGGCAATTCCTCCTCTTCACGGGAACTTATGTGTTGCAGTTAATGGGTGACTGTGAGGAAGAGGGCATGTGTACAGATTCAAAGCACTAATGATGGGCAGTCTCGCTCTCTTTAATTCTGGATCCTTTCTCTTTTCAAATGTTTCCATGTTCAGCTTTAAAGGTAGTGGTCTGTGATGAAGGCTTATTGTTCTCAAAGTAGCTGGATGTCTGCTGAAGTGAATAGAAACTTTGCATGGCAAATTGTGTGGATCGTTTCACTCATAAGAATGTGACTTGTAAATTGGGTTGGAGTCTTTTCTTTTGAATGTAGTAAATGAAAAAAGTGTCTAATGTTTGGGAATGGGAGCCAAATGTCAACCCAAACTGTGTATCAAACCATGCATTCTCTGTGCACACAATGGATTTGCCTGCACTGCTCAAGATATGATAGCCTTGTAGGTGAACAACTACATTACACTTTCAAAATATATTCTCCCTAGCTTTTAGGTCCTGAGGCCTGAATAATACTAGGAGTAGTATACACTCTGGAAAATATACTTATTAATTTCTACTAAAATGTAAATAAGCAACCACTTTTTCCAGTACAATAAAATTCACTGCATCAGAGTTTGACTGGGTAGTTTAACATAAGCAGTAAACTAAATGAAAGTTGCTATCATTTCTACATGGGGTATGTCTTTTCAGCACAGTAACAACACAGTAACTGCTTCTATACATCTCCCTGGAAAAGGACTAGATTTCTTAGCCCTCTAGTAGTGCAATCACGGTTGCCATCTGTCCATAAATTTAGAGCCGTGAAAAATTCAGGCTAAATATTTCTGTCCACAAACTCCATTAATTAATTTAAGCCTTCTGTAAAAACTATCAAGCCTAAGCTGTTTTGTGAAGCTCCCTCTTGGAAAGAAGCTGGGCAGCTGGAGCTTGATTGAAGCACAGAGCTGAGCAGTGTCACCTGGTGTCTGAGCAGGAGCACAGCACTGTGCAGCAAGCCTTCTTTTAGTGTTTTGTAGACTCTTCCCCCTATAGCCATGTGCTGCTGCTGCTTCCCATCCTCTAATACTGCTGGTTGCAGGTTGGCTTCCTCAGGGGTCTTTGATAGAGTGGGGCCAGAGGTGGGGAGAGGAGGAGCAGTCACATGATGTAGGTTACAGTCAGGAATGTTGGTGTGGGGTGAGTAGAGGACCTCTGCTTGGGAAAGCAAGATAGAAAATCATTGCTGCAGTCTATGAACCCAAGATTTTATTTTTTTACTGATGGTAGAAATATGTCAGTAAAAAAGGTTGTCAGTAAAAAGCTGATAGATTGTCAGTATAAAAAATGTGGTGAGCCAGGCATGAGAGAGCATCATTTAATACTATCCCAAAAGTAGCTGGACTGAAATGGGCAAGTGTTTTCACTTTCAAGGCAGTAATTGCATTGTCTTATGGGACTCCTCAAGACGCCACTGTTAAAAAAGTAGATTTTAAAGAACACTTGGCTGGTGCAAGTTTACCAGTCTCAAAGTGCTTATTTTCTCAGCATTGAAGCCACACCATGAGCCACAACCTGCATTTTCTTCTGTTCACTGCTGTTTCCCCAGGATTTTTTTCCTTCTGAAGAAGCAGGATTAGATTAACAGCTCAAACCCATCTCTGCCTTTTTTGGTTCCCCAAAAGGACAATTGTGTAATCCAAGAGTGCTGGATGGGTATTGTTCTTAGAACAATCCTCTCTCTACAACTAACAGAAAAAGGATAACAGGAAGTTAGTAAAATTAAAGCTTTAATACTTAACTGTATACTGCTTCTTCAGAAATTAAAAAAAATCTTAAATGGCAATGCATCTTTTAAGAAGTATGAGCACTGATCAGTGCCTCTAGAACAGCAACATCTAAGATGGAAAGATTCAAGACACGTACTAGATATGCAATAGTAATATTGATTGCTTGTTAGACTTTTGGGTTGTAATGTAGGTGTCCATGCTGTAAATAAACTTAATTCCCTGCAGTTTCTAATGCAATAGATTTAACTTTTACCATTGCTTTAGTTTAGATTTGTATTGATTGCCTCTGCAGTGCTAGGGATATATAAAGCATTCTGGAAATCTGTTTTGTACAGTTTTATTCTATTTAAATTTAATCTTTCTGTACTTGGCTGGAAACATTAATTTTGGTACTAGCAATCCATAAAGCCATGGGAAATTATCAAAAGTTAATGGGGTCCTAACATGAATTTTTTAAAACCTTTCTCAAATTCACTTATGTAACGCTTCTCTGAAGAAGTTAACATGTAAAAGTTGAACTGATTGTTCACCCGAGTAACAGTACAGTCAAAAAGTTTCTTCCTCAAAGTCTTTCCCTATTCTAATTCAAACACCTGAGCAGAGTCGCAACATGTCCCAAGTTGTATTGAATCTTCACACAGAGTGGAAGAAAAAGTATTTGAATAAGTGAAAAAACGTGGATGCTTTTGAAATGAGTTTCCACTCTCTAGCTTAGGGATTTCCAAACTGTGGTACACATACTTTGGGGGCATGTAAGGCATCTCTGGGGGATGCACGGGAGAAATTGTGTCATGGTGAATTTAATTTTTAGCATGATGATAATTGGCATTTAAGAGGTTAAATATACAATGTAAGCTGGTAGGGGTATGTGGGCAGCTGATAAATGGAAGGGATATTCAATAAGAAAAGGTTTGGCAAACTCTCATCTAGATGAAGTAGGATTATTTTTATTATGTTATTTCCTATTATAAAGGACATCCTTCAGAGATAGGAAAGGGGATTTGATTTAAAGTTGTAGGAGATCAGTCTTCCAAATGTGAGCCACACTAATTATTATCGCGTATTAAGATGTATGGATTTAATTGAGGAGAGGAGCGGTTTACTGGGGGGAGGGACTGTAAAAACAATGTAGTCTGCTTTAAAATGAAAAAAAAACTGCAGAAAATGGTGACGTGCTCTTCAGGCTAGGAACAGATGTTGCATCTGTCCCTGGACTAGTTGTCCCAAAGCAGAAATGACCCAGGACTGGTATGTACACATGTTGGCCTTCTAATCAGGGTTTAGTGAATGCACCGCTATTTTTCTGCCATTGATTCAATGATGTAATCCTGGGGTAACCATTTGGGCACACTTCACAATGTCCCAGAATAAACAGTGTTAGCATTTCTTATTCTGTGACCCTTTTTGAGGATTTATCCTGAGGCAGAGGACATAGATGTCTGAATGACTGCATTTTGTCCTGGGATGAAATGGTTTGTCCCAGGACAAATGTGACATCTGTTTGCAGCCCATGGTGTTTCTTGGTATGGTTAAAATGAGTCGGAGCAAAAGCTTCCTAGTCCAAGCAAATGCAAAGAAAACTAGCTTTACTGCCATAGTAAAGCTAGTTTCAAATTGTTAAGCTCATTTAAGTTTTAGTTCATCCCTAGTGAAGTTGCACTTGTTACTGTTGTGGTTGGGGCTTATGAAATTCTAAGTGTCAAAGTCCTCTCCCTGTTGCATGCATTTTAGTGCCCCTTTGTCTGTAGTAGTTTGCCTCGGGTACCAACCATCCAATACACTTAGTCAAGCTCTCCGGTTACCAAAAAAGGAATTTTTCACTGAAGTACTCAATCCTGTTGACTCAGACACTGTTCATAATCCATAGGCAAAACAAAGTTTGCTCTCTCCAAGAGTGGAGTAAAAAAAAATCAAAGTAAAATCCTGCTGGCTTCCTTTGACTTCCCTTAGTCTAATTCTGTGTTCATAAGTATCCTTGCTGGTTTGGAAACACATAGATGCAAATGCTATTTTATAATTGTTTCAATTTAGAGAGAAAAAAATATTACTTAACTGATTTGGTCTGGTGCAATAGAGAAAATGATAACCTTGATTTTTTTGCATTGCTGATTGTTTTGCAAGAGAAGGTGTGGTAGTTTACCACTTAAAACAAACTTTTAAATCAGCTCACTTAATCTCATTAGAAAAGTATGAGTGCTAGTGGCATAGCTTCTGAGGTAGTATTTATAATTAATTGGCCCATGCATACATCGGAGGATATAGTGTTTTTGGTTGAGGTGTTCATTTTTATCCTGTGAATACTTACTCCTAAAACACTGAGGAATATTATTGGATTCATGTGTGTAAACTGGTCTGCCACAGGCAGCTTCTGAATGCTGGATTTGCAACATTGAGGTAAATGGATACTGTTATAAAACCTGCACAAAGCTGCATACTTCTAATTCTGCCTCTGGTGCTGATTCATTTTGTAGCCTTGTACATGTCATGAAACCAAATATTTCACTGGGAACAAGGACGATAATGATGTTTGCTTTCCTCCAGCTGTATTTAGGATTACAAAGTACATTCATACTGATCATAGGCAGGTGGAAAAGACCTGGGGCATCTGTGTTATATCAGCTGTTGCATTATATTGAGTCAAGACCACTAGAACTATTTTATAAAGCCTAATGGGAAAATTACTTGCAGTCATTCATCTGCCTCACAATGGCTCTTTTTTGATTGCAAGGAAGTGAGCCTTTCCTGAATAAATCTGCCATCAACTGCAGTGGCAGTTTTATAGAATTTGACTACTGTTTTGTGTTAACCCAGATCTGCCCAGTTGTTGGTGAAGCAAACGATATTTCTGTTTTTCAATATTTCTGCCAGGCACAAAATGATACCACATGTTACTAAGATAGTGAAAGTAAGAAGAAATTAAATATAAGCAAAGAAAACTGGTCACTAAAGGCCAACTCTGGGGGAAGAGAAGTATTCAGATGCCTCACTCCCAAGCTTCTGTTGCAATCAGTGGGAGCCTAAACACCTGCTTGAAACTGGCTCTAAATACAATCAGACACTGAAATCAAGGGTAACTCTGACTGTGACTGTTTTTCTAAAGTTCTCAAAACTGCATTTGCAAAGATAAATCCAGCTTTACCTAGATGGAGCAGGATCAATATTGTTATCAAAG